AACTTAGAAAAAGGAAGAGAGAAGTGAGAATTTTGTTAAGAAGCTCCCATGTGGCCCTCACAGTAACTGAATGCTGTTAGCACTATCTGGGTATTCTTTCCTATCGTATCTGCCATCTTAGCTATCTTTCATCTATCTTCAATTTTCTTTTATTAGATTAAGTTTAGTGTTAAGAGTTAGTTTTAGAAAAATTATTCTTGCATATTGTATCAGATTAGTGTTATCACAATTCTGTGTTGTGGGCCTTTATATATTTTTTAATTGTTCCACCAAGCTCTAGGATGATTTCTCCAGAGAAATCATCCTAGAGCTGACATTCTTTATTTGAACCTATATATAGTTATATCATGCGCAAATAAATTAATTTTCTGACATCTACTGTGTGTTTAGTTTATTGGGTGTTTGCCTTAGCTAATGAAAACCCTTTCATATCTCACAATATGTAAGGGTGTGATTATGCAGATGCAAATGAGTGAATTTGCCAAGCAGTGTGTAAGCAAATGAGCATATGTAGCAAGAAGAGGTGATGACATTTCTCACTCTCATTAAGTACAGCATGACTACACTGACTCCAGCAAATATGCCACTTTCTGGCACTGTGTGAAAATGAAGAAGTGGAGAAAGTGGCATGGAGATGATGGTGTCACATGTTCGTGTTCAATGTGTCACAGAGAAACATGAATTATTCCACTGTATGTAAATAAAAATCAAATGGTTACTAGCAAAGAAAAACTTTTTTGTTATTCGGATTACTTCATAATGAACACACAAAAAGAAAAAAATATGGTGTTCCTTCTCTGAAAATAGTGAAAGGATAAAGAACTTTGTTAATGAAACAGAATTTATATGACTTTATGTATATCTATAGTTTGAAAAAAACAAAAATCTTTTTATATATACAATAGATGAAAGATAAAAGAAGCAATCATATACTTGTGCCAAGACACATGCACATTATTCAGCGAGAAGAGGTGAGACATGATAAATATCAAACCCTGTCAGATATTTGCGAGAGCCAGAGATTCGCTCTCACCAGCAAGATTTCTCACTTCTTACTTGTGCGTGGTTTTCCTTTGTGAGAACTATTATATATCACTTCCTATTAGATTTGTGTTCGCATAGTCGTACCCTAAGACTGATAAATTTTTCTTTCCACAGTTCAATGCAAAGTATGAGAAACCTAAAAACAGGTTTTTTCATACTTTGTACTTTCATAGCTTTTGTGAATTGTATTTCATAGCTTTTGTGAATTGTATTTTAACAATACATATCTAAAAGTTACAGTATGCAGGGTGCATAGGAAAGTCCCTTTAACTGGAAAATTCTTGCAGATAGAGAGAGCTACAGCTATGCAAGTGAGGTAACGGTATAGTAAAGCGATTACGCCCAACCTAATGCATATGATAGCAGCGCCCCTAGTGGCGAAATTTGGAAGATAGCCAGTGCAAATCGAAAATGAAAACAGATAGAGCAAACTTTCCAATTAGAAAGTTTTAGAGCATCAATTAATTAGTATGAAATGACATGTAGTTCACATGGATAAGATAAATTGTCACCTGTATACCCAAAAATGTCCGAAAGCAATGCACGCCATTTTGTGTAAATGTTTGAAAGGAATAGCCATAGGTATGAAGAAATATTCACAATTTATTGCATAAAATACATACTTACGTCAATACAGTTTGATAACATCACACAAAAAACAATAGAAAGGCAAACTGTCACACAGTGATAACAAGTTAATGTCGAGTATGTTTGAAAAGTTCGCCATTGCTCATGATACATGCCATTGTTGCAGATTTTTCAATCAATGTTAATGCAGTATATAGTCAATGCACTGTATCATTGTAAGATTAATTAAAGAGCATGTACAGACAAATAGCATTTGGAAGCTTACATTTTTGATAATCTGGCACTGTTATGGTCCCAAATGTGCTAGATTAACAAACTTCTAATGTACATAAAAGACACTAGTTACATTCAGCAGACTCAACAGTTATGGAGCAGTTGATTTTTCCAGTGTTGTAAGAAGCTGATCACACATTCAGAAAAGATTGCTGATCATTGGTTTAGAGTAAAGTTTCCCAAAGAGGTTCCTACAGATCCCTGGGGTCCTTGGAACTGCTGACGGGGTCTGTGGCAAATTAAAATTAATTTGGGGGTGCATGGACAACAGGGGTTTGTGAAAGGTTTAATAAAAGTAAAATGATTGTGACCCACTTTCATTATTATGAAAGTTAAAATAAATAGTGTGAGATTCTGGACACCCTCCCCCTAATTAATTGGAAATCGATGTCAAATACATAAATTTTTAGAAGTAATATTTCTGATTTTAAGTGAAAAGTTTTAATGTTAAAACGAAGGAAACTGGTAAAACTGATTTCCTTCTCAATGGAAGTTTGACATCCTTTTCGTTTTCCCTTATCTTTACAAATTTTGAGTCATATACAGTCCACTTACCCCTCTGTAAACCTCCACTCATCCTAAACACGTGGGAATAATACAATTCTCTCATTGGAGAAAATCATCAAAAAAGGGGATTCTTTAGTATCATTCGGGGAGTATGCCACGAAATTCCATAGGAGAAGGACGTATTCCGTATAAGCTCCCTACGGCCAACACCCATATTCAACTCCCATAGTTCATACAAAGTTTGTTATAAAGTTCATTCTAAATTAAAGATGATGTCTATTGAAGTGCCGCCAAAGAATTAACTAAAGATAAGAACATTTGTATTAATCAGAAATTAAGAAGAAGATAAAAGAATATACTTTGAGATAGTATGATTTTAACTGGAATTGTGATCTCTCTCCGCGATAAATAGATATATTTGAAGGTCCATTTTGTATCATTTTTCCTTTGTTATTAAATATTCATTTTTATGTTAAAGTAAGGTCTAAAATGTCTGAATCAAAGATATTACAGCATCTCCATAGCTATTCAAACCACGTGTTAATCTGTGGATTATAAAACTGATTAACTGGTGTCATCATCCTGATGTAGATCTGAATCTCAAAATTTGGATCCCTTTTAAATGCCCTTAAGGCCATCCTTCGACTAGAAACCGTATCTCTCAATCCGTGAACTCCCGAGAACAGATTTCACTTAATCTGTGCTGATTAAGTGGTACAAATTGAAATATGGATCTGTACAAAATATGAATCTGTACCCCCAGCTAACTCACAATAGTAATAAATGAATTGGTGGTCATTTTTACATCCTGATGTAAACGTTTTACATCAGGACATACCATCCCATCAGGTTAACCCATCTCATTAGTAATATTGAAAAGTAATGTGTTTTTTATTTTAAAACAAAAGTCATTGTCATATATATATATAAAGAACTTTTGAATTTCTAATTTAATTTTAACCCTTCAAAAAATTGAAAATTAAAAATTCTCATATTATAAAAAGTTATTAAAATAGAAAAATAGAAAACAACCTGTTAATCATGTTTTACTTAAAATTTACATATAAATATCAATTAAGTACTTAATAGTTATTTTTGTTATAAATTTAATTTTATTTCATCTGTTCAATTTCAATAATATTTTTACGTTATAAATGTAATTTTTAATTTCAATTACATTAAATTTAAATATAGAACAAAGTACTTTTTAATTTAAATACATAGTTTATTTTATACAATTTTATTATATTTTATAATCATCTATAGTTTTTAATATATGAATCATTTTTATAATTCTATGATTAGAATAAATACAGTAATAAATATTACCGTTAGAAATAAATTTAAACAAATCAATTCAAAAAACACAATTCATTTACTTTTTAATTTGATGTATTAATATACAAGCTAAAGCTTGCCCATTTTGAAAATGGGCTCTGTGCTTCATTTATTGCATACATTATGACATTTTAGAATCTATTTTGTTTATTTATAGAATTTTATACATTTATTTAATTTTTCTTTCCAATACAGTGATAATTATTGGTTATTTTTCATAATTATAAAAACTATTTAATGACAAATGAATTATTGATATATTTTTAATTTTGATCAAAAACATGTTTTTCTATAAAAATTCGATAGATAAAATAAAAAACTTATTAATTTTATGTTTTTGTAATGTAATTTATAACCAAATTAAAAATAAATTATACATTTTTTTCTGTTTTCACTATATTATACCCATTTTTACTAGCTAAATTACCCAAATTACTTTAAATATCAAAATGTTTTATTTATATTTTATTTTTACATCACCATTCAAGATATCAAAGTTAAATTTGTAATTTTGCTATTATGTAGTTGTGTAGAGTTATTTCACTTGGGGTTCATGGTGGGGGTTTCTCTATGAGAAAGAGTCTGTGGGCATAATAAGTTTGGAAGCCATTGGTTTAGAGCAGTTAAACTGAACAATTAAAGTTTGTTCAGTTTAATTAAATTTTAATTGTGTTAGATTTATTATTTTATATGAGCACTAAGATGGCTTTTCTTTTTCGCTAGCTTATCAATAAAAAGGAGGACAAAGTTTCCTAATGATCTTTTACAATTTTGTAACATTACAATAAATTTATGCTAACTTGTATACATTATGCTAACCTATATGTAATTTTCCCTGTACAATTGTAACACAAGAGTTGAAAAGGGACATAATTGTCTGAAATGCATACTCAAAGAAATAAAAAGTTTGTCCTCCTTTTTATTGATGGTGTATAATAAGTCTACCAAAAAAGAAAAGCCACCTTAGCGCTCGTATAATTCAACACAAGAATAGACAAGAAGCGCATTGCATAATAGATTATTTTACTATCATTCTTTTTGAAATAGTGGATTTTTTGTATAATTGTATTTGAATCTGTTTATAATAAATAAGTTACCTGAACCAATAAGAAATAACCTGTTGTTACAAGTATTTTTATATGTTAAGAACATCTTAAATTTTTATATTGTAAAATATTTCTTATATTTTAAATTTAATTTTAAACTCAACTTATTTGTATATAATTGAAATAATTTTCTGTGTTTTATAGATATGGCTGAAAGTAACAACAGTCGAGAAAGAAATTCTAGTCAACCTTGGCTTAATATTCCATGGTCTTTAAGACATGGATTGCATACTTCTAGCTTACAACATTTAGCAAGTAACCAACGAATTCATCAAGATATACAGCATGTTATAAGAGGATTTAGTCCATTAGTTGAAGGATCATCATCTTTCGGATCGGTGAATGCTCGCCACTTTACTTCATGGCTCCGAGAACAGAGACCAATGTTCTTTTCAAGTTCTAATAGAATTAATCCAGATGTACCTCCTCCCCTTCATGTATCTAATCATCAAGAACAGATTTTGAATGATGACTTTGTGATTGAAATGGAATCTGAAAGATTAAGAAATAACTCTCAAAGAGCATCTAATAACAATAACAACAATAATGAAGACATTACAGTAAATAATTCTACAGAAAACAGAGAACAGAATAGAAATAATGATCCGGCTGATGCACTTCGTAACAATCCAGAAATGAGAGCATTACTGTTGATGGCAGAGAAATATGTACCTTTTATTTTAATTTTATTATTGAAATTAATTTTTGATCATAGAATAGGTAAGAATTTAACTTAATTATAAGAATGAATATTTTATGATTAGCTAAGATTTTTATATATAAGAATTTTTAAAGGTATTCTGGTTGTTATTGGTTTATTTGCAACTTTTTGTCATGCAAATTCAGTGATTAAAAGAGAGGTTTCTAAACAGGTAAGAAATTTAATTTTTTAAGAAATATTATAGTTTAGTAATTTTTGTATTATGTTTACATCTCATTGTTATAAATTTTGTTTCTGAAATTTAGTAGAATATTATAATTTAAAGCTGTGATTAAAAAAAATGTTTATACAGTAGAGCATCGATTATCCGAATCAATTGGGGACTGGGGTTGTTCAGAAGATCGATGTTTCGGATAACCGATTATGTACGAAAAAATATATTAATTTATCCCATCTTGACATTTTTCTCCGTTCTGTGTTGCTTTGCGTTGAATTTTCGTTGATGTTAAGCCTAACGAAGACTATTGCATCGTAAAAAATTATTTCTTTATTTTGTACGAACAAAATAAATATATTGAAAAATATAAAAACAATAAAAAATTATACTTCAGAAGTTAATTTAGTATCAAAAACGTAAAATATTTGAGTAGCCCAAGACATAGCCAAAGATTGCAGCGCCACAGCATTGGCGAAAATTTAAATTTGCCGACTGAAATTCTTTCAGATGATTGACTTTCGGATAATCGACGCTCTATTGTATTTACAAATTAATAAAATGAAATTAATCTTAGCTAAGTATGCAATAAATTCATTATAGAACTCTTACAAATGTTTGTGTTGCTACGGACACGATGTTACCTATATTGTATATTTTAAAAAATTATTTAATTTATTATATACTGATATCTAATACTGTTGGTATAATTGAATCTTTAAAAGATGTGATTTATGCTTCTTAGACTGATTCCTAAGACTGCAAATACAACAAAATCCATTTTTCATTCACACACTTCAATAATGTTAATTCTATTTTAGGTTAAGGTTACCTTAGGTTCCAAGGTGGCAGCCTTTCCAGTCGCCATTTTAAATTACTCTAGAGACTGCGCGGAAAAAGATTTTTTGATCGGAGATCAAATGACTCCTTTACAATAATAAACTAATAAAGTGAAATAAGGAAAAATTTTTTTTATCCTAAATTTTACCCAGACTTGATAGATTCATTTTCACTTGTTACAGGTCTTTTCTTCTCTGTTTTTGTCGATTCAGCTACACTTTTAGAGGTTGTTTCATTTTTCCTTCTATTCAATTTGGTTGTTGCCTTTTCATTCCATTTTAATTTTTTTCCTACTTTTTCATATTTGACACTGGTGCAGATGGAACAGTTTCTGGTTCAAGCCATTTCAGTGTTTTTCCAGTCCCAGGATATATCATAGCTAAATGTTTTGAAAAAATTTGGAATCTCTCCAGGTTTTCTAACGGGCCAATTCATGAATTTTTTATACATAAATAAGTACATGTATGAGTCTGAAAGATCATTTGTGTAATGCTTTGGTAGGTGTTTTTTATTTTTTAAATATCCCCATGACTGTTCAATATTTTGAGTATGATCTCCTGTTTTGGGGTTTACAAAACTTTTTGAATGGTTTACTGTTCTATGTTCGATATTTACTTCTTCTATGTCATATATATGATTATATCCTTTCCATTTGTCAGTTATTATAGTACTGCTGGAATTTACATATTTATACACTACCCAATTTAGAGTAATTTCTGATCTATCATTTACCTGACATATAAAACAATTTTTATCCTCCCTGCATATTCCACCAACAACCCATTTTGTAGATTTTAATATATGACCTTTTTCATACTTTCATTTGCATATTAGTTTCATCAATTTCAACAGTTTTATTTGTCCCTCCTATTTTAAATTATGTCAAATTATTCAATGCTATAAGCATTATTAATCTTATATGATTGACCCAATCAATGCTAGTCTTTTTAGAGATTCCTACTGCAATTGCTGAATTTGTTGCTGTACATTCAAGACAAAGATAGTGCCAAATGAAGGACAAAACACAACCCCAAGAAATATGGCTGAATTTACTTTTAAATGTTCGTTCAAATGCTGAATACTTTGTTCCACATTTACTACATCTTAAAAAACAGGATTTTCTATCACTTCAATAATATAATTTACATTTAGAAGCACACAAATTGCACACAGACTCAGTTTGTTGTATTCCTAATTTTACAGCAAATTTAAAGACATTATCAATATCATGTTGCAATCCTAACTCCAAATATTCAGTCATTTTCCATTAACTGATAGAATTTACAGGTGGTGCAACCTGACCAAAATTCATCAGAACTTAAATCTACTAAACTCATTTGCACAAAATTAGCAACAAACTAAAAACATAAAAAAACGAAAAAAATTAAGATTAGATTTAACTATTATACTTAGTTACTATAATTTGAAAATAATATAATTACCAATATGACAATCTGAAAATTAATTATTGTAACAAAGAAAACAATTAATCCAATACACATTCAACGCAACACTGTCAGTTTTGACTAACTACTGGTTGTTTTGCATATTTCCACAATAAACTTCCGACTGCGATGTCAGATCTTATGAATTTGCATATTCATTCACAATCACATTATACATCATGTTGATTATACTTTCACATTTCGTAACATTATTATGAAAGCTCCCTCTATCATCAGTGTCACGCGTGACTCTGTTTCGAGATTACTGGAAAGGCCATCTTGGAACCTAAGGTAACATTAACCCTATTTTAATATATAAAAAATCCATCAATGAGAGTTATGTAACTTTCCTGGCTATTATGAGATTTTATTAAAAATACTTTTAAGCAAAATAAATAAAATTGTGTATGGTGCCATCTGTTATCAGATTTTATTATAAAAAATTTTTATATTTTTAATTACTACAAAGTGGCAAAAAGCATAATTTTGTGGGTAGGTATGAGTTTTATGAAAAAGTGTAAATATTATCATATTTTTGCAGAATGACCGGCATGCCACATACAAATGCAGACCAGCATGCTGGTCTGACATTTGTATGGGGTTATGACATGGGGACCAGGGCAAGTCATAACCCTGGGGTTATGACATGCTGGTTAAACTGCAACTAAAATATAAAATTAATCGGATCTAACAAAACTAGTTGTTAATTAAACATTAAAGAAAACATTCTTCTGAGTACAACAAAATAATAGCATTGTAATTTGACTGACTTAAAATCAAGAAGAGAGTTTTCATTTACAAGATAATAAAACAATGACTTATTGATAGTAGTAGTAGTTAGTGTGGGCTATACTGACCATCCATCTACCCTAACCTTAAAAATAACACTTTTCTCAAATTTCTTACAAAGCCTATGTAAACTGAGACAGCGAGTTTCTTAAATTAAATTTGCTTATTTTTGGATTTTCAAATCAAATAACAATAAAATACACATTAAAAAAAGCACTTTTGGAATTCCACTAGTATTTTGTGTTGTTAGAAAGAAGACAAAAAGAAGAAATTAAACATATAATTGTATTTTTGGTGTAATGCTGACAATTTCACAGTTTTAGAATAAAAACTTGTTTATTTTTACTTGTTTGTTTTTTTTAATGTGCCCTCTAGACAGGAATGTATAGCCTCACTTAAACTGGCATGCCTGTTTTTACTATATGGAAACATCTGATTTCATGGTATTCCCAGATAGACCAGCATGCCGGTTATTCCACAAAAATACAGTAATAACAAATAAAATCTTTATTAATTAAAACTCCTTGCCGTCCGGACCCGAGTTATCTCGGGCAGTTTACATAGCGTTACAGAAAACTTGGTCCTTTCGGCCCCGAAAAAAATTGTTTTTTCAATTTTTGGATGTTTTTTAAGTCTCCAAATTTTTTCAAAAATTTTTACCCACGCGAAAAAATTTTATCGCGATTTTAATTTACCTATAATTACACACGATTAACGCTTAATTGTTTTTTAATGTGATTTTTTATCAAATTTAATTTGTCATTCTAAAGTTCTAGTGCACGGATTTTACCTCGGTAAAGTTATTAAAAGCTACTTTCTGATATCAAAAACTACCTCCAATAGTTTTTTAATTTTTTTAATTAATATATTTTATTATATATAAGTTTAATTAAATCGGAGGGTCGGAAATCGCAATTAAAATTAATTTTTTAAAAATATTTAAAAATATACGGCCAGCTAGTATTCACCCTACTATAAACTCTTCACCTCCTGTAGGTTTTATGAGAGTGTCCCGGGAAATCCAACACCAGCTGTTCTCAAGGTTGTCCAGCTGTGTAAACAATGACTCATCAATGTAAAATTTTGCAGAAAGGGGAGACAATAGAAAATAAAGTTTGAAGCTTTTTCTTCAAAATTAACGCATCTCTTTCGTTTTTTTCAGTTTTAAATATTTTTTATGTTTAATTAAAAATTCCTAAAAAAATTCGGGAACAAGTGGTTAAGTCCTATCTCTCTTGAGATACATGATTCCTTCTATCTCCCTACCCTCTTGACCTTTTACCCCAAAATTTAATAGCATAAATGCCCCTTATATGCAAGCCACCATGCCAAATTTCATTTTTAATCTTTATCCCATCCTGAGATATTTAGTGAAACAGACAGACACACACACACACACACCATGGAATTTTTTGCCATTTTTTTGGATTCAAAAGGTCTCAAAACTTTTTGCAAACTTGCAGATTTGCAAAAAACTTTGAGGATCAAATTTGACACAATTTCAATACTTTCCCTTGTTATGTATACATAATAGCTGGGAAAGTAAAACTGCTCCAACAATTCATTTGCTAATTAATAAGCTGCTATTAACAAAAGTAAAAATACAGTAGAGCGTGGATTATCCGAATCAATTGGGGACTGGGGTTGTTCAGAAGATCGATGTTTCGGATAACCGGTTATGTACGAAAAAATATATTAATTTATCCCATCTTGACATTTTTCTTCGTTGCGTGTCGCTTTGCGTTGAATTTTCGTCGATGTTAAGCCTAACAAAGACTATTGTATCGTTAAAAATAATTTTTTATTTTTAACTATTACAAAATGGCAAAAAGCATAATTTTGTGGGTAGGCATGAGTTTTATGAAAAAGTGTAAATATTATCATATTTTTGCAGAATGACCGGCATGCCACATACAAATGCAGACCAGCATGCTGGTCTGACATTTGTATGGGGTTATGACATGGGGACCAGGGCAAGTCATAACCCTGGGGTTATGACATGCTGGTTAAACTGCAACTAAAATATAAAATTAATCGGATCTAACAAAACTAGTTGTTAATTAAACATTAAAGAAAACATTCTTCTGAGTACAACAAAATAATAGCATTGTAATTTGACTGACTTAAAATCAAGAAGAGAGTTTTCATTTACAAGATAATAAAACAATGACTTATTGATAGTAGTAGTAGTTAGTGTGGGCTATACTGACCATCCATCTACCCTAACCTTAAAAATAACACTTTTCTCAAATTTCTTACAAAGCCTATGTAAACTGAGACAGCGAGTTTCTTAAATTAAATTTGCTTATTTTTGGATTTTCAAATCAAATAACAATAAAATACACATTAAAAAAAGCACTTTTGGAATTCCACTAGTATTTTGTGTTGTTAGAAAGAAGACAAAAAGAAGAAATTAAACATATAATTGTATTTTTGGTGTAATGCTGACAATTTCACAGTTTTAGAATAAAAACTTGTTTATTTTTACTTGTTTGTTTTTTTTAATGTGCCCTCTAGACAGGAATGTATAGCCTCACTTAAACTGGCATGCCTGTTTTTACTATATGGAAACATCTGATTTCATGGTATTCCCAGATAGACCAGCATGCCGGTTATTCCACAAAAATACAGTAATAACAAATAAAATCTTTATTAATTAAAACTCCTTGCCGTCTGGACCCGAGTTATCTCGGGCAGTTTACATAGCGTTACAGAAAACTTGGTCCTTTCGGCCCCGAAAAAAATTGTTTTTTCAATTTTTGGATGTTTTTTAAGTCTCCAAATTTTTTCAAAAATTTTTACCCACGCGAAAAAATTTTATCGCGATTTTAATCAACCTTTAATAACGCACGATTAACACTTAATTGTTTTTTATGGGATTTATATAAATAAAAAAACTGTATATGTATGCATATGGGTTTTTTTTGTTTCTTAAATCATCGTCTCCGGGTGAGACTAAGTTCTGAGGTGGCAACCCTACATGTAGGTCCAGTCAAGACTAACCTGATCTTTTTGTCTTATCGAGCCTTAACTCTCCCATTGTCTTATGTTCTTGGAACTGGTGGTTCATTGTCTTCAGTTCTTGGGATTGGTGGTCCCACCCAAAGGGAAGAAAGGAAATGAAAAGAAAGTTCTAGAAAGACAGAGAACAAAAGGGAATAAGGAAATAAATATATAAATATTGGTTTCTTTAATTTTGGTATGTATTTTGGTGGGTAGGATTAAGTAGTAATAAGGTGATTGGGTTTTATTTTTTTTGCAGACAATCTATCGTTACATTTTTGGCGCCTCCACTATGACGGCGCCCGTTGTGGTCGCACCGTTTGCACCGCCCTAGGGCCGCCCCTGCTAATAAATAACATAAAAATGAAACATATTAACAAAACCATAGAAACATATTCATATTTCATATATTTCATATACATAGATTTCATGTATATGAAATTTTTTATTCTTGAGACTAACTAATGTTACACTTTTGAAAATTACTTTTGAATTTTAATTCCATTTACAAAATTAAACTTGTATGCATTAGTATTTTGAACTTCATATCTTAACAATAAAACTTTCATGATTGTATACAGAAAACACTTTTAAAATATTTTTTTTTTTTTTTTTTGAGAACGAGTGAATAAAGTCACAATCAGAATTCTGTAACATATGCTGTGTTGATATGTGTAAATTATAAAGATGTTTAAGGTAGTTTATTAGAGCCAAAGAACGTTTGAGACATTACTGTATTTACCTACTGTATATATACTAGTTGAGTGCCCGTCATATGACCGAATATATAAAATGTATAAAATGCTATAGTAATGTTACACCTGTGAAGTTCATTTACCTATTATATTATATTTATTAAGTTTTATTGGTTTCTTAGTTTCTGTACGTTAATGTAGAAATATTGATATGTCTTTATAAACAACTTGAAATAACATTAATAAATGTAAATTTTTATTGAAAATAATTAACATTCTGTTCTGTATTTTCTAAGAGATTTAGAAACAGTCGCAATAGAATTGCCACTGTACAGTGACATTACAGGAAATTATATAGAAAA